CAGACCTGTAAGATGTAATTACTATAATATCAATCCATGCAGGTATGGTTGTAACATAGTGAGAATTATAACGCCACCAGTTCCACTAATCAGGGTTAAGATCGGAGTCACATGATCATTTCAGTGTTTATCCGCTTCCTCTCCAGCTGGAAACAGGAACATGCAGATAATCAGGAGAAAAAACAGATTAGAGATTGTGAGAAAGTACATTTTTTGACCATGACAATATTTTGTTTAGTACTTTGTTCAGTGTTCATTAGGCAGAATTATACATGTTAAGGAAGGTTGTTATAGTAAAATAATTTACACACACACACACACACACACACACACACACACGCACACACACACACAGAGTATATTTGACATGAACTCATGAAGTCTGTGATATTGTTGAAGAGGTTTGCATTGGTGCCATTTGTAGTGAACTAATGTGGGTATTTAGTAAAGTTAATCCACTGATGCTCTGAAACAGTCAGTCTGTGTCAAACTGATGAATTTATCTTTATTTTAAAGTCTTAATTCCTCCTGAAAGTGAAAACATCATCGTTATTCGATGCTGTAGCGCAGATTGTTTACATTCTAACTAGGGAGTACCAATATGGCTGCCGGTGGCTTCAGAGTCCGAAGCGGAAGGCCGGTCGGTTCGGATCCCTGAACACAGACGGAATTCCCCTGGCCGTTTGAAACAGTGCGCATGCGCAGCAGGGCAGTGACGTGTCTGCTCGGTGTCACCCGGGATGTAGAAACGGACCAGCCGAACCGGACCGGAGCGAAGCCGCGAGGGCAGCTCCACGCGCGGGACTAAAACTCAGGAGGGTTCGGTCAGGAGGGACCAACCGAACCGAACCGGACCAACCGAACCGGTTCCGAATCACTGCTGGACCGGATACCGACAGCTGAGCTAAGTTAGCGGCTCTTCTGCTAGCCGCTGCTGGGAGGAACCACCGGCCGCCCGGCCCGGTTCCGACCCACGAACCAGCCACAGGAGCAGGAGGAGCAGCAGGAGCAGTGAGGAGCAGTGAGGAGCAGCAGGAGCAGTGAGGAGGAGGAGCAGGAGGAGCAGTGGGGAGGAGGAGCAGCAGGAGCAGTGGGGAGGAGGAGCAGCAGGAGCAGTGAGGAGCAGCAGGAGCAGTGAGGAGCAGCAGCAGGATGTCCCGCAGGCGGTCGGACCCCCGCAGCGGGCTCCTGACTGAGACTCAGACCCCGATCAGCAGCGAACCTCTGGAGAACCTGTATGAGGTCACCGGGGAGCTGGGCAGGTGAGTACTTCCGGTTCTGGAGTCCAGATCCAGAACTGTTGATCATCATTGAATACAGCAGTTCCACCTCAGAACCGGATCTGAAGCAGGTCCAAACCGGTAACCATGGCAACCGGACCTCAGAAAGAGGAACAGGAAGTAAACCTTTGATCACGATGAGGAACCAGGAGCTCCGGTTCTGAACTCAGACTGGGTTCTGGTTCTGCCATCGGGGCTTCATGATGTCATCCAAGCAGAACCGGGTCTGGGTGGGTCCAGTTCTCTATCTGGGTCGGTACCGCTGGTTGTCCAGATGGACTCCTGGACATCAGAACCGGATCCTCCTGTGGTTCTTCCAGCAATCAGAGGCTGCAGAAAAAGGTTCTGACCCGTTTCCAAGCTGAGCTGACCCGGTTCTGATCAGGACCCGGTTACAGCTGGAGGTTCTGACCCAAAAGCAAGTCTGCAGCTGGACCTGAACCAGAGAGCGGTCCTGTTGTGGTCAGTTTGGGTCTGAAAAGTTCTGGTTTTCCCTCCGATCAGTAGAACGATCTTCTCATCGGAACCGGGTCGGATCAGTAGAACGTTCTTCTGATCGGAACCGGGTCTGATCAGTCCTCTGAGCAGAACCAGCTGCTGGTGATCAGAATCTCTGGCTGCCTGAAGGTCCATGATGGAGAGCTCAGAACCAGAACCAGAGGTGCTGAGGAAGCGGGTCGGTTCCTTCCCTGGATGTCCTGTTTTTGGAACCAAGCTGCGGTTCTGATGGTTGTTCTGTTCTTGGTTCTGATGGTGGTTCTGTTCTTGGTTCTGATGGTGGTTCTGGTCTTGGTTCTGATGGTGGTTCTGGTCTTGGTTCTGATGGTGGTTCTGATGTTGGTTCTGATGGTGGTTCTGGTCTTGGTTCTGGTCCAGGGGGAAGTTTGCGGTGGTGCGGCGCTGCGTGGAGAAAAGTTCTGGGAAAGTTTTCGCCGCCAAGTTCCTGCGGAAGAGGAGGCGGGGCCGGGACTGCCGGGCCGAGCTGATCCATGAGATGGCGGTTCTGGAGCTGACCCGGAACAACCCGCGGGTCGTCAACCTGTACGGCGCCCACGAGACGGACCACGACCTGGTCCTGCTTCTAGAATAGTAAGTTCTACGCTGGCGCCCAGGTTCAGTTGGTGGCTTCTTTCCCCGCCGGTCCGTCATGTTCTGACCCGTCCAGTCCGGTCCGTCATGTTCTGACCCGTCCA